AGGGCCCACGCTGCAGCTCTCCACCCGCCCCCACGCTCACTTCCCCCTTCTCCCCTCCCCTGAACGCTCCGCCCCCTCCCCTGCTTCCCTGCTCCGGCGCGGCCCCGCGGCGCGGCCTGGGTCGGCTCCGGCGCGGTCCCCGCGGCTCGGATCCCCCCCGGCGCGGCGTGGCCCGGGTCTCCCCGTCCCCGCGGCGTGGCCCGGGTCTCCCCGTCCCCCCGGCGTGGCGCGGCTCGGGTCCTCCCCGTCCCCCCGGCGCGGCTCGATTCCTGGGGTCGATTCCTTGCAGCAAGCCCCGCCCCCAGGAATCAGGCCCCGCTCTTGCTAAAGCCAGCCCTGCTCGGCATTGTTCCAAGCGGGGGATTGCATGGAGCAGGCATGGCCACCTGGAAAGACGCGCTGAGACCACTGCATGCCTCACCAAGCAGGAAGGGGACTTTCAAATTTACAAAGGAATGTATGGGGTGGGGCTGACGGTTGGTCACCTGAGAGCAGAGCAGTAGAGTTCAAGCCAATGGCCAGAGAGGTGTGAACAGGCATTGTGGGACACCCTTCTGATTTCAGAGATATCCTTTCAAGTGTTAATAAGTGCAAGACTGTTTTAAGATTGCTGATTGAAAGACTAAAATAATAGCTCCTAGATGTGTGAATTACCCCATTCATTTCAGTGGGGTGGGTAACTGAAATTTTAGTATGACCATTGTAATGGCAACTTTATCTCATTGTTGTGCATTTTAGTAGAAGCAACTAAGGTGCTAAGGTTTGATTTGTGTGAGGTGGTTTTCCATGGGGGAAAGGCTGCAAGATTTAAAGATGCAAATAGCTGAATGATTTATCCAAAAGTTTGATATTTATTTTCATCTTCAACATAAAAGGGGACTCTGTGGGGAGAGCAGACATAGGAGGAATGGAGATATCTAGAGGCAGGGGCTCTAAGTTCCATCTGTCCTAGCCTATCTTTGCAGTTCAACTATCTTCACCACCTGTCTAAACATTGCTGGCATACTTTTCGTCTAATGTTTCATTAAATTGAGGGAATCTAACTAGAGGAAATGAAAACATTTAGGGATAGAATCCATATAAGAAGTGTTTCACACCTTTGGGAAGGGAAGTGGAGAGGAAAGTGTTCCTGAAAATGAACCAATTCCTTTTATTCTCCCTTCAGCTCACTATGACATCAAATATTTGAAGCTTTCCATGCATTCCCTATCACTGACAAATATATGTCCAGTGGGGAGCAGGAGGTATGATTTTTCTCATGTATTAATGTGGTTTTTCTTTTTCTTACAGTTTCTTTTGAGTTAAACTGGGACAGAATGGGTAAATTTAATCTAAAAGGGCTGGGTTGAGCAGTGTTAGGGTAAATCACTTGAACTGAACTGGTGTGTGAATTGGCCTGAATCTTTAATGGAGTAATTAAATTTGTGGCCTGAATCAAAAGGATGCAAACTCCTTTAGCAGGGAGCAACAAAAGAGCTAAACAATACCAGCTGATTTGGTTGGAGCTACTCAGAAGGGATTTGGAGCTATATAAACACAGAAGTTAAGGGATCTTTTCCAGGAAACAGACCTATATGTCCTTCTCTCATATTTTGCAGGGGCTGCTGCCTGCTACAGATACAGAAATCTAGATGGAATTTCAAAGATAAGAGATGGTAAGTTCTTAATTAAGTATATCAGTACTGCTTATATTATAACTAAGGGCTTGTCTACACTGTACTAACTAGTTTGCCCTGACTTCAGCCATCATTGGCCCGCCATGGGTTGTAGCTGCACCAGAGTCTCTGATCTGGTTTGAGTAATGCATTTTCTGTAGAACCCGTTTCTGTCTTGCATGATGACTGTATTGGCCTTTGGCTTTGTAAGTAGCATAAAATATATTCTGTATGTATTTTGAGTGTCCAGCTTTTCAAGGGAGTTTGCCATTGTGCTAATTGAGGACCCTATCAATGCATATTCTTGTTAGTGTTGACAAACAGGAGAGTATCTGAATAGCAGTCTAGTACTTAATGCAGCTCCTTGTTTTTTAAATTCAAGACAAAGAGTGTCTTGTCAGGGCTTGGAAAAATACATTCATCTGCTGACTAAGTGACAAATCTACAAGGCAAGTACAGAGATTGTCCTGTTAAGTTCTGCAGAGTTGAAGATTATTTTGTATGTTTCTAACTCCAATGTAAATTAAGAGAACCTCCAAAATGTAAACTGATGCAGGCTCAATGCAGTGTCATTTTGTTGAGTTGGCAGATGCACAGATTCGTTGCTTTTAGCTTTGCCAAGGAGCATCAGAGTCAAGTTAACATGGTTCTGGTCACTTTTGACTGCTGCTATTCAGAACCCTGTGAGCAGCAATGAAACTGAAGATGTCAAATGTATATTGCTTCTGCTTGGGAGAGCTCTGAGCAGCAACAGAGGCATGCACTGGAGTTAATCAGAGGAGAGAAGGCTCCAAGGC